AGGCCGCTGCACTCACAAGGCAAAAACAGTGACTGCGAGGTTGAAACCCTGAAAATGAGTGATATCCCTCTTGATTCCCTCGACAAGAAGACAGACACACAAATACACACTACATGCACATATCTCTTTGCTGTTGCTTGCACGTGGTGGTTCCTTGCCAGCGAAACCATCCTTTTTGGTTTCAGGGGGTCCCCCCAAAAGACGACAAACCCACTTTCCAGCCTGGCCAACCTGGCGGCGGCAAGTTCAGGGTCACCGTGTGCCGCGGCCGCCTGCGGTCGCTTCACACGAGCGCTGAGCCAACGAAACAACACGGCGTCCCTCGAATTGGGGGGGTCGGTTTTCAGGGGAGCTCGGTGTGCCTTGTGGTGTTCCTTTAAACATCCTTTAAGCCACGCACAAAGGGGGCACCCTCAAGAAAAGACAGACCCCATTGGCAACTTGTTTTGGTGGTTTGGAGGTTAGGGAGTGGGTTCCCCTTCAACCTGAGGTTCAAATCCCCAAACCACCAATCCAACCACCAGTTTAGGGAAACCTAAACAGAACTCCTAATTTTTTGGAGAAAAAAAGAGAGTTCGGCATGGCCTTATTGAAAATGAGACTCTCTGAAACTTGCTTCAAACAAGGGCCCAGCCTTGGGAGGCTGGAATTGGGAGGCGCGACCTCCACGGAGGATTGCTCCGATTGCTTCCTCGGCAGCGTTTTTCTGAGATGGCGACTGGGAACCCGAAATGAAGGCTTTGGGGGAGCTTTGGTGAGCCTGCGTGTTGTTCGAACCGTTTTTGACTCGAGGATCCAGTGCTCACAATAGCCTGGTCAGCTCGCGGCTCGACTGGCCACCTCGATCTGGCGTGACTTGTGTCCGTGCTGCATTCCTTCAAACGTCCTTGGGGATTGGAAATCGATCGGCCTCTTATTCCGTTTCAGCCGGAGAAAAAAAAGAAAGAACAAAACGCAGCCCCGCGACGAAAGCCAAGTGGGGCAAGGCCAATGCTCGACGGCAGAGATCATCCTAAGCCTGTGGCATTCGTCTCGAAATAGGGGGTAGAAAGCACACCCAAATCGATTTTGGCTCGTTTCCTTTTCTGCAACCCAAAATAGTTTTGGGTGTGTAGTTAAAGGTTAGACCCTCCAAAATGGCGCGCCATGGTTTTCCTTCTTGACTTCCTCTTAAAACCCTTCGCCTCAAACCAATTCCGAGCCACCCATTCGATCAGTATGAACGTGGTCGATCCCCAAATCCAAGGAATGTGGGTATGGGTCAAAATTAAACTACCAGGGGACCGCAGGTTTTAGTCCATGTTACTGTTTCCGTTTACCAGGGCTCCATTTTGGGTACCTAACTGGCGACTGCCCCTTCACCTGCTACCTGCGTAACCTGAGACCGCCACCTCACGGAAGGAAGACTCTGCGCAACCTCCACGGATGGCTTCCTGAGACCGACTTCCCGGCGGAAGCGATCTGGTCTCGCTTTTTGAGAAAGGGGACCCCCCAAATGGCTCAACGGCAATTCTTTTCTTTCCCTTTAAAACACCCAAAAAATGGGTACCTTCAAAAAGACACAGCCATATGAGTCTCTCTTCTTTGGGCTGGATTCCTTTTTTTGCGCTCCCATTTTGGGGAAACAATAGGAAACAACGCAATAATTCGTGAGGCCTTTCTTGTGGGGTTTAGAGGGAAAACCGAAACCTAGTTTGGGGGTTTAACCTTAAAAAGGCGAGCCATCCCCGCATGGAAATGTGTCAAAGAAAGGTGCCCCGAACGGATTTTGCTTTTCCGTTTGGTTTCCCTTTCAAACAACCCCAAAAGGCTAGCCTCAAACAAAATCACACCCAAATCGTTTCCGCCATTGAGATCTCTTCTTCGCAGACCGACCCATTTGACACTTAGCACAACTCAGCGAGTTCATCCGGGGACCGCTCTCCCGCCAGCAGTCTCACGCAGCGAGTGGCCGCATCTTATCCTCCGACGCACCCCCTTTCACGTTCAGGTCGTAGAGGCCAGTCTGCTCGTAGAACCGTATCACCTGAAAATCCGAAAATCCCTCGACCCAGGTGCCCCTTCCGAGGCAAACGAAAAAACAGCACGGGCGGTGCGTCTTTCTTGTTGGAATCGGACCCCCAAAAAATGGCGCCTCAACCGGGCTTTTCTTCTTTTTGGGATTCCCTTCAAAACCACACAAAAGCAAGGCAGCCTCAAGAAAACGGAGAGACCCACATCCGTAAAAAACCATATGACTGAGAAAAAAAACCCAAACCCGACCCTCTGACCTAACCTAACCTTTCTCACTCCGGGCACGGCCTTGGCCGGGATCCAGCGCCCCAGACTCACGCTGAGGTACTCCACAGCGTCGCCTTCGTGGAATTTTGGCATTCCTCGGCTCCAAGAAAATTCAATGGCATTCCTTCCTTGGCATTCCTTCCTTGGCATTCCTTGGCATTCCTTGGCATTCCTTGGCATTCCTTGGCATTCCTTGGCATTCCTTGGCATTCCTTGGCATTCCTTGGCATTCCTTGGCTTCCAACCTTGACATTCCTTGGCGGCTCCAAGGAAATTCAATCCGTGCGTTGCGTATGTGTGTGTGTGTATGCACGCATACCAACTTCATCCAAATCTTCCTGCGTCAAGGTGAGTCGCTCATCCTTTGGAGGTTCCTTGTACCCCCGAGTCTTGTGGCCTTAAAGGGCTGGCATGCCTATGTGCATGTGCATGTGTGTCTGTATGTGTATGCATGCTATATTAATATATATATATATATGTATATATACATTGTGTGTATGCATGTATATGTGTATGTGTATGCAGGCATATGCGGCATATGTACTAATATATGCACCCTCGAATGCCCACTTCACATTCATCCGGAGCTCCGTATGGGGTACATGAGAATCTCCCAAGGTGTTTACCCAGATGCTTCGGCCGAGCGTCTGAAGCTCAAGCTGCGAACGGAGTTGGTGCTGCGAACGGAATGTGTGCTGCGACCTGAGAAAGGAAGCCAGCTCACAACAGCCAGGAATCTTGGTCCCACGCATCCCGAGACATTCCGGATACCCTTCGTGAACCTCTCAAGGTCTTATCCGGGTATTGACCACGTCGTGCCAAGTACATGGATTCCTGACCGCGAGTCTTGGAGCAATCTACGGAATCGGCGATCCGGAACTGAGCCTGGGCTTCAGCCACTTTGCGTGTCAGAAGCGACGCTCCAAACATCTTCTGTGGGTCCTGCAGAAGCGCTCCCGACAGCCTCGATGTATGAGGGTGTGTGTTGCCTGCAAGCCGTTAACTGCATGTCGTGTGTCTTGATTTAGACCCACGAAAATGGGCAGGGTGTCTTGTAGTCTTCCTTTAAAACCACCAAGATCCACCAAGAAAGGAGTCGCGCGGACGCATGCCTCTACGACTCCTTCTATTTGCCCGAGAAAAAATAACACAAAGGAAAGGCACCGAAGATCGGTCCAACACAAACAGAGATGCCCTTGCGCCCAGGTTGACACTCCGCCGATCTCGCGCCCGCCGAGCCGCAGCTCATGCCTCCATCCGCCGGCCGAATCTTCGCTCGCGGCACTTGCTCGTGGCACGCCAGGTCGTATAAGTTCAAATGCGGAAGAAACCTGAGCACCTGGCCCCGCGACCGCCAACGCCCACGCGAAGGAGCAAATTTTGGAGCTCTGAAAAAACACCACGCCACTCTTCTCGCCAGTAGCCAATTTGCGAAGGCCCACGTTCTTGAGCACTTGGAAAAACACCACGCAACTCTCATGGGCCATGAGCACTCGATCGCGCCTTGGTGGGGATCCAGCCCTGCTGGGAGCTGAGATACTCCACTGGCTGGCCTACCAAAGCCCGAAGGACCAGGGAGAAGAAACGGAATCCGACCGAAAGCGCCATCCTTCTGCTACCTTTTTGCTTGTTCTTTGGTATAGGTTCCCAACTTTCTGGCTGTTCGAAGATGGATCCGTTCATGAACATGCATGGGACTATTTCTCTTCAAACAAGGGAGAGGACTTGTGTGTTATGTTCACCATGTGAGGGTCGCTTGCAAGGGAACCCGAAAAGATGCCATCAACTCCCCAAGCTGGGTGTGTCCTTATCTGAGGGTTTTAAAGGAAAGCCAAAAGGACAACCACCATTTGTTGGGTCCACCCTGAAAAACACACACCCACTTTGACACATTTCTAGGGGTACTTTCCTCATTCTTTCCAGGGACCCTTCTTTCTAGAAAACCTCCAGAAACCCAGGGAAAATACTGTAGCTGGTTTTTGAAAAGAAGGGTGGTTGAAAAGAAATGGAACAGGAATCCACCTCCAGAACCTTGGCTCGGGTGTTCGCCACAAGCGCCCCCCGGTTTTCTCGGCCGCTCCAACCCGCGGCTCCGCGGCTCCGCGGCTGCGCCTGGATGGAACTCCGGCGCCGGCCGCGGCGCCAGGCGCAGGTGGCTCACGAAGACCGGGGGCTGCACGGCATGGCCTCGGACTTGCTTCGATCGCGGCACCGAAAACCGAACCGCAAGGCCCCCTCCAAACGTCGCCGATTTCTAGGGGTTGATTCCTGTTCCATTCTTTGCAACCATCGCGATTTCCGAAAACCGGATCCGTTTTCCAAGAGTTTCCAGAGGTGGTCGAGAAAGAAGGATCCCCGGAAAGAATGTGGAAGGTGCCCCTAGACAAATGGGGAAGCCCCCTCCAAACGTCACCAAATGGGCCGGGGGGGGGGGGGAGGCTTGCTTTTGATTTTTGAGGCGCGGCAGCCTTGGTTGCTCGGAAACGAGGGCGTGAACTTAGAAAGCAAAGGAGCTCCTAATTGTCTCAGGTGTTCAACTGGTTTCGACATATCCGTAAAGAGCTTTGACCATAGATACCAGCTTCCCATAGCGAGAGAGAGAGAGAGAGGCCGCAAAGAGACGGCACCAATGGAAACCTGTGGGTCCCCATAGAAAGCTGAAGCACGAAGTTGTTGATAGCATCGTGAGACTCCAAGAAAACTCAGGGATCCCCGTGAACACACACACACACACACAGGGGTGCGCCTCAAAATAGGGGGAACCCAAAAATGTGCGGATCATGTTCTCCCCCTGAAAAGCCCCCCAGAAATGGGGACCCTCAGAGCAAGCACACACTTGGCTCTTTCTGGGTTGATTCTTTCGCCACAAAAGCTGCTTGAGAAACCTCTGATTCTTTCGCCCGATCCATTGTCCCAGGTGAAACGGGGGATTCACTCAATCCAGGTGTTCCGCGAGGCCAAAAGACCCGTATCCCTCCTCACCACATCTCAGTTTGAACGAGCGGATCCCAAAACGACACGCGATCAATCCGAGATCCCAGCGGTGATGAGCTTGATTCAGCATCACCACCTCTTGGCCCTTCACCTCGCGAGAAAGCAAAATCCCCACACGGGACGGGGGGGGGGGAAACACACCCCAGGTTTGCCCTGGAAAACCTGGAAGGGGGAGGGGGGGTGGTTCTTGATACAACCAATCCAAACCGTTAATTTTAAGGGGCAGAAGTGTCCCCTGCGAATAGCTTGGTGGAAAATAGATGGCGATGCCTGGCCTTTTCCATCCAGTGCCCTCTGTTTGTCCAAAAGGACGCCTGTTGAAGGCTCTGGCCGCTTTGGCCAGAGTTGCAAAGAGCGTTCTGCATCAAAGGCCGTGAGCCCTAAGTGGTCGGACCCGAAACGCTGGACAGAATTCCGTGGGGATGAGTTTGTCCAACTCTTAAAACTCATAGCCAAATCCGTCACAATATAACTGTTCACCAGCGCCATACGACATGTGCCTGAAAGACATATCTGCCTCCCTGGCTCCCTCTCGAGATCTCTGTTCCTTTGCCTGGATCAGGGTATTGGAACACTCCTGGCGCAGTGTTTTGCTCAGAATTCTCTGTCTCTTGGTAAGGTCACAGCATCATGGACTCTGGCAGGCCGATCCGTCCTCATTGTCCTCGCCGCCTACAAGCTCGAACACCTTACATGCAAGATGTTTTCACCACGGCATATTGGGGCCGACCTTATGCTCACAATTCCAAAATTGCATGAGGCATGAGTTCCTTCGTGCAGCCCGAGGAGAACTCGAATTCATATGCCAAGCTGCATGATTCACCATGGCATCCACACCTGGGCTGCTTCAGCCGCTTTTTTCGGCTGAAAACGGGTGCGCCAAACGGCAGATCCCTTCGGAAAAAGATGCGGGCTGCGCTGCCAAAGATGTGCCACAGACCGAATCGACCCATTCCACGCCAAAGCACTGTCCTTCATGATCTCCGTCACCTGTCCCCGACCCAACCAACCGGGCAGCCAGGCAAGACCCAGTGAAAAACAACCCTGCGCAAAAAATAAACGTTTAATTAAACAAATAGTATGTTGTCTGTCAAATGTTTTTGCGCCAGGCACGCACGCACATTCCACACTAGCAGTGTGAAAGAGCTCAAGGTGCACAGAACGACTCGAAGATCGGATCCCGAAGACGGCCCGCCTGGCGGCCCACGGCCAGGGCGCCGTAGCCAACGTCGCGGCTACCTCCCAGAAACCGCGCGAAGCGGTCGATCCACGAGGGCCACTCCTCCTGCGAAGGACTTCGACTTGGTGCGATAGGGAATGAGAATTGGAACCCCAAGAACAACCATCCCCGATTTGTGGCACAAAACTTGCTGGTGCGATAGGCAGGGAATAAGAATTGGAAGGACCCCTATAAACCATCCAACTGGTGGTTTCCTTTATTTGGGATCCCCCGGCTCATTCCATTTCTCATTCCCAGCTGAGCACCAACCAGAACATGCAGCACAAGGACTCCGGTCAAATGCCAGCTTGGATTGGGAGGCCGTAGACACAGTGCGCAAGTCAAGCCAACCGAGAGCCTCAGGCGTCAGCCCCAGGAAAATGTGAAAGAGATCTCCCAAGAGCCTCAAATGTCCTGTCTGGATCACATGGCTCCTGTGGGGCTGTCCTATATTCCGATCACAGGGAGGCTTCACTGCCAGCATGAAAACCGACCGGATCTTTTCTGGACTCACGGTGAGCATGCAAGGGCAAGAACTTCACGACAAGGTCTCGGTGCTGTGGGCTGCAAAGGTCCCTACGGTGCGGCAGCGGGAAAAAAACTAATGCGTGTGTATAGCAGCGCGTGCTCTTTGAAGAAAAATCCGGTGCTTTTTGAGGTGTTCACCTTTCAACAAACAAGAATTCTTTGTCTTAAGACCTGAACAAAAGTCAATTGTTCGCTTTGTGTGTGTCTTTGCTTGTGTTTCAATAAACACCTGGTGTTGCCTCTTGTCCCCCTACCTGACTCGGAGGCGCCCCCACATCTTGGCCCATCGATCGGCTCGGCCCATCGGTCCCCATAGCCCAGGTGATCGCAGAACTCCGTGGCAAAGGAGCAGCAGTTGTGCGTTAGGAGATCCTAAGCAACTTGCTTGTCATAGGTAGGGAATGAGAAATGGAATGAATCCAGAGGTCCCCTTGAAGGAAACCACAAGGCATGGTTTATGAGGGTCAATCCCTCATTCCCTGCCACTTGCAATCGCTGCGAATGAGGGAACGAACCCAGACGTCCCCCTAAGCAAACCATAAGGGCTTTAGGGAATCAGGGGAAAAATCAATCTGGCGGGTCCCCCTTGAAGGAAACCGCCAGTTGGCATGATGTTTATGAGGGTGCCTATCGCACCAGCAACTACTTTCGTTATAGAATGAGAAATCAGCCGGGAGGTGTCTGAGCCAGACCCCCCGCTGCCGCCAAAGCCGAACAGGGCATGCCGCTAGAACCTTTGCTCACAGCTCTGGAGAGCCATGCAAATGCATAGACCACAAATTCGCCCTACTCAACTGGGCTGTCCGTTTTCCGATCCCCTGCCGCAAGTGTAACCTTTGGACTCAACGGAAACCTCCGCCAAACTCCAAAAATCTACAAACCCAAGGGGACGGCTGGGCAACGCGAAGCAAATCGAAGGCTTCCTGATGGGAGCCACGATCCGTATAGGACTCGGGCCTTGAGTCTGACATGACCACTCTGGTCCATTGGTGGTTTTGGTTGGAACCCAAGTGAGCGCCCGGAATCTCCTTCGCCATGTGGCTCAAAACCAGACAACAACCACCTGACTCAAAAAAACAAACAGAATCGCCCCAACATCATTTTTTGTTGCCCTGGCGCGGTTGAAAAAGTAGACTCAAACCTGCTGTTCTTTTGGATCCTGCCTCTGAAATTTTGAGCACCCCCCCCTGTTAGGTTCATGGGATCAGGTCTAGATAAACTGTATGCCGGTACAAGTCCAGGGACCTGTTCGACTGTGGTGAACTCTTTTCTTTGGAACACCCTCAATGGCTGGTAAACAAATCCCCACCAACTCGGATGCTACAAACATACACACACACACACCGAAAATCCAACACCAAGCATACCATATGCAGCCCAAAGGCATAGTCCGCGCCCCGCCATTTGGTGCACATGTCCTGCAGGATTGCTGCCACCTAGGCGTTGATCAAGTCAAAACGGCCGCGCACAAAAGGCCGCGTTTGGATATGCCGAACCCAAAAAGCTTGGGATTCCTTTAGCAGGGATCCTTACATGAAAAACACCTGAACATTGCAACTTGTCAATGGTGGTTTCCAACTTTTATGTTGGTGTTGAAAAAAACTTTATGTTTCCAACTTGCAACACGTTTCAAATGGCTTCAACATGGCTCGATCTGTTAAGGAGCCCTTCCTTGAGGCTCCGTGTTGAAACGACCCCTCAAACAACCCGTGTGCGACGGTGCGCCTCGTTCACATCCTTCTGGGTGTCGCCCAGTGGAATGCCTTATTCGCGGCTGGTGACGACCGGAGTCCAGAACGGGTCGATCAAGACTCGTGAGTCACCCGGTTGCAACGATCCGAGTTATGCTGTCAAAATGGTTTCCGGGCAAGGGAAACAAATATCCCCCCAGGATTCTTGGCATCCAACGTTGGAAACCTTGACGCACGGACGTCCCAAAATAAAGGACCCTCAACATTGGTGGGTGTCTCTTTGTTTCCTTTTCGAACCATCCCAAAATGGAAACCATCCCATTTTGTATGTTTTATTTTAAAGAAACGTCAAAAAAAACACACTTATTTAAAAGAAGAAAAACAAGTCCCCTACACCCGTCGCACGCGCAGTTCATTGCCAGCATCTGCAGATCAGCGTCTACATCGGTAGTTGTGGCCTTCGGCTGTCCGTGGGGCGTCGCAAACGACACCTGCGGCAGCCAGCTCGTGTCGCTGTCGCAAGCCTTCTTCGCCAAGCCGTAGCCTTCTGGTGGGTTTTATGGTCGGTTTATGGCGGCCTCTATCGGCGGCCTTATGGCTGGCCTTATGGGTGGCCTCCACCAGTTGGGAGATTGCCACTTCTCGATGGCGGTGTCCCCTCAAAATGGCGGAAGAAGCGTAACATGTTTCAGATGGTTGCAACATGTATCTTTTACTTGTAGCCCCGCAACAAGCTGGCAGCTTGGGTCGCAAACTCTTCCCCATGGTCATTTTATCAGTTGGGCCGGCACCTAGCTGAAAATGTAGGTGGCTGTGGGTCAAAACCCAGGAAACCCCTGGTGAACATCAAAATAGGTGGACCATGGGTGTTCACCCGCCCCAAAATGGCTCGGCGTAGGTTATGACCCATGGCCATGTGCTTTGCTTCGTGTTTGGTGTGCTCCCATCTTACTCCCAAGGACAACGGGACACTCCTTCCAGAGGCCGCCTCGCTTCCCATAGGACCACTCGCTGCCGAAGACCTCCACGCCCGCGTGGAAGGCTCCTCCTATGCTCACCTGGCAAAAAAATGAAAAAAGTGTTCGGCCTCACGGGTCCGATGGAAACGGCAGGGAGCGTCTCAAACAAACTCTGTTTTTTTGTCCGCGGGAAACGCCCCCCAAAAAATGGCCAGCCAAAACCGTCCACAAAGGCATCCCCCACAAAAAGAGAGAGAAACACTTTCTTAACAAGACGGCCAGCCAAACCGTGCAAAGGCCACGGTCAGCCTGGCGAAGTGCGAACTCACGCGGCCCGCCTTTAAGTTCAGGGCATGGTTGGCGGTCTGAGGCAGTCAGCTGGGGAAACCAAAGCGAGGCTCAGAGGGTAAAATTCTAGGGGCAACTTCCATTTCCATTCTTTCCAGGGATCCGAATCTTTCTAGAAAGCCACCAAACACCCTGCAAAAGATGGCTGATTTTTGAAAAGAACGCGGGCCGAACAGAATGGGGAATCAACCCCTAGAAAAATTGGGGCCCAAAAAAGGAGAAACATCAAACCTCAAAGTATCCACCTGGCCAAGTGAGTTGATCAATATTCCTGGCCCCCCACACCACGGGTAACCTTTCCCATGTGGGAAATGACACATATATTTCTACTGGTTTTCTAAGCCATGGTCATGTTCATCGGACCTTTTGGATCAAGCCCCAAATGCTTCTTGCCATGGGACAACTCTTGCTCCCAACCGTTTGGTTGCTCGCCCGAATGGTTTCTCCCTGAGATCTTCTGAAGGATCTGTGCTCGAAATGGGCGAGGCCCTCCCAGTTTCTACTCAACCCCCGGTTTTGCAAGCAAACCAAGTATTGAGGGAACCCAGGAGCCCACCAAACATCCTGTTGCTTCAGAGGATCACGCCGCACGAGGCCCGAGGCCCCGGCTTCAAATTGCTCCAGGTCGTAGACCTAACGTCACGAAGGAGCGGTGCAAACTTGCCGCGGGGGGGCGGGGGGGATTCCATCGGATCCACAGAAACCGAATCGCGGTTTGGGAACTGAAGCGTCTTGGCCATGCAGCCGGCGACCTGACTGCATGGCAAGGCGCGTGCAGCTGCACCGTCCTTGCAGTAATCTTGACGTCCTCCTCCCAGTCTTCTGCAAGGTGATTCCTCAGGCTTCAAGATTTCACACAAGGGTGTGTCTCGTGTTAAGAAATCGGACTCCCCAAAATGGATTTTGTTCCTTTTGGTTTCCATTCAAAACCACAAAAACGGTATCAAAAAAAGACACCCCCAAATCTGAATCGCGTCCCGTTTTTCTTTCCAGTCCATGGTGAGTCAGCCCAAGCTTGGACCATGGAACAGACCAAAACGATCCACAGAACCCAACTGAAACATTTGGAAAATCCGATCAGTGACTTGGACCGAACGATTACATGGGCCATCGCTGCGAGGCTAATGGTCAGACCAGCAAACACTATGTGTTGAATAATCTGCAAGGTACTGAATGAAAATCACTGGCCTAGCCCGTGCGATCTTGTTCTGGAGCCATCTTTGCCAGATGCACTATGTGATAAATCAAACGCAACCTCACTTTGCACTAGCACTGGGCAGTCATTCCCTGAGTTCGGCAAATACCTTGGAAATCAGCATTGCAACGTGTGCGCTGAATGCTGACTTGAGGAATTCTACTCATGAGTGGAGCATTTGTGCCTCTTCACCTTCATTCCGAAGCCTCACACATAGCCCATGCGAAGCGGGCGGCTTCAGCACAACGAGCCCTGAGCCACATCCTCTTCAAGTGATCCAATTCTTAACCCAAGGAACACCTTCGTCACTCCAGCTTAGTAGCAACTTGAGGTTTGTCCTCTGTGTCTCTTTTGAGGGGCCCCTCAAAATGGGCGTTCCTTTTGGCTTCCCTTTGAAGCCACCAACAAAAGTTCAGCCTCAAAAAAAGACATCCATCTGGCCCACGGAGCAGCAAGATGGCTGTGGGACATGCCTAGCCGCCTCGGCGATTGCGAGTCCGAAGACCAATTTGCGGCCAAGTGTCTTGAGAACCGGTTCCTTTGCCAGTTGCGATACCAGGACTGGGGGAGCAGATCTAATGACCTCAGCTAAAAAGCCACCTTTGGCCATGGTTCAAAACCAATGGGGATCCCATTTTGGAATAGGCGAATTCACCACCCATTTTAGAACCTATTGTAGTGGTTGGATTGAATCGGATGTTCACTGGGGGCTAACCGATTTGGGCTTTGACCCATGGCCTTTTGCCATGAAGCGGATCACGGACCGGTGGCCTTCGTTCTTTCTTCCAAGCCACTTCAAGGATGATTTCATGATCGGCATCGGCCAAGGCATCGATCTCCTCGTCCCAGGGCAGTTGCGAGAGGGGAAAAAAAAAACACTCAGGGCCGCTTCCGGAGCTTCGTGGAGCGGTTTCTCTCACACCGCCCCGGTCCCACCCCCCCCCTCCCCGAATTGCAGGTCCAAGCAACGACCTCAAACATCAACTCCACCAGCCACGACCCGAAAAAGTTGTTCCAAGCCAATGTGCAGGCTATTTGCTACGTGCTGTGCGGTGGTTTTTCTTTCCCCCCCCCCCCCCCGCGCGCTCCCCTCAAGAGCAATACGAATCTCTTGGGACCCTTTCGACTGCGACCACGCACGCGGAAATCCCCGCGTGCGGCCACTCACTCGGGTCCTCGGCCTCGGAGCCGGAGGAGTCCTATGGGCTGGGTGTGGAGGGTGGGGAGGGCGGGGGATTGCTCGAAGCCAAGTATCTGTTTTTGCTTTTTGCTTTATTTGCAGGGAAACCAAAAGGAAAGGACACCTCTTTTTTTTTGGGGGGGGGGGGAAGGGGCGCGTCCCCCCCGAAAGGGCACACCCAAATTTCTCGGATTTTGGGCCCTTGCGGCCATTTCTGCAACTCTCTCAATGTGCTTTGGGCCGGGCGCTTGACCGGTTTTTCCCCGGGTTTTGGAACTAACATCACGTCCTTGCTTGCGTCGCTGGTGACGCTGATCCGCCGCTGTCGTTGACCATGTGACTGCCCCATGGCGCACTCGACGCGAAGGGGTAGTGGGGCAGGCTGTCGCGCTCGTTTCGTCGGATGTCTCGCTCGCGCTCGCGTTCTCGCTGTCGCTTTTGCCCACTGACTGGCCGCCAAACCTCGCCCCCGCTTGGGCCACGGAAAGAGACGGGCACATGAGGTTTCCTGAAACATGGCATCTTGTATCTTGAAAGACATCGTTGGCTTGCACCCTCGAAAAGAACAATACTTAGGACACCACATCTAGCTCCCGGTGCAAAAATCAAGCTGTCGGCCTTTCCATGCTGGTGCTTCCCCATTCGTGGCGCTTTCCGGGCCAGCAAAGGTGACATGTGGGCCACGATCAAACTATGCTGCTCCCAGAATGGACAATGGTGGTTGAAACTTCACGTGACACCTGCGCTTGGCATGGCAAATGCAACATCGCTCCACGTGTTGCCCTTGCCTTCAAAACAAAGGAAAGCTCTCGAAAAGCCAAATGACACGCTCACTGCCACTTGGAGCTCGAGTGGCGCTGGCTCTGAGTTTGACCCAGGCCTGGACGGTCCAAAAAAAAAGGTCGTGGAGGCCCTTGGCCTGGTGATGCGCCCAGCCCCTCGAATTGGAAGCGCAGCTTGGGCCGGGCTCGGCCGAGCTCAGCCGAGCATTGGACGCCCAGGAAGGACCTTGCGGCAAGAGAGAAGTGGTGCACTCCCTGCGGGGAACAGCCAGGATGGCAAAATAAATACGCGCGGGCTTGCCAGCGAGCTGAATATGTCCATCGAATCCATTGCCAACCGCAATATGCAATGTGCAGCGCAAACAAAGCGCCAAGCTCGATTTCGGTAGAGGGCTGACGAACGCGGGATTGAGCAAACTGCGTGCCCTGCGATATTTGCTTAGCGCCCCAATGCATGTTCATGTCTAAACCAACGTGAATTGGGTGTAGGTCAAGACTAGGTACCCCAAATGAAACCTAGTACATGGAAACAATATGGAAACAATTACTAAAACCTGCGCTCCACATCCTGGTGGTTTAATCTTGACCCATACCTGATAATTGATGCCATCGATATCAACCTCAAAAGGCTTGATCTGTGTCCCAAGCTTAGGTGCGGGGGAACCTCTAGTGCTATACGTTGACTGCTGACCCCAGGTTTGAGGAAGCTTCTTAATCTGGCCCGGGTGTCCTGATCGAACTCTCGGAAACGCCGCAGGAATCTGTATTGCGTCTCCGGGGCATTCCGTTCCTACTCTTTCCGCCCTCTGACATAGCTGACAGGTGAGGTAATGGGGGCCTTTCTTGAAGCTGGCCCCCCCCCCTTTTGGCTGCCTTAAAAGGGAAGCCAACACGGAAAATCACCAAAACCAATGTTATTTTTTGCGGGTCCCACAAACTTCCTCTGAGGAGGGCCCCCAGGAGTTTTGTTTGGCTCCAAATCCTTTAAAAATCTTTAAAAAGGGGAAAAGCAAGAGGAAAAAAAAAACAACAAGTGCTCGTCTTCCACTTAAAGGCTCTCTCCGTTCCGAAAGCGCCCCTCGATCCAGGCCGGCCTCCAGCTCATGATCTTCTCGCGCCTGCCTTACACACCACCAGAAGAAAAACCGCCGGCGGAGTCGGCGAAAAGGAAATGCACCGGGTATGCTGCTTTTGTTGGTTCCAAGGGGGATCCCTATGGTAAGGGCGCAGAGGAAAAGAGATGATGCTGTTGTTTTCTCTTCAAAGGGGGATCCAGGTATGTTGTTGAAAAGTGAAGGCAAATGGCTGTAGGTCAAAACCCAGGAAACCCCTGGTTAACATCAAAATAGGTGGCACATGGGTGTTCATCCGCCCCAAAATGGAGGCATAGTTTTTGACCCATGGCCACATAGATTGCTATGGTAAGGCGGATTCACTTCCATGTTTGTGTTCAAAGGGGGATCCCTATGGTAAGGGCGCAAAAAAAGAAAGAAAAAAAAAGAAAGAAGAGATGCCCTGAGCACTCTTCGAGCTTGTACATGTTTTTCCAAGCGGGGCCTGTGGCTGTTGGTCCCAAAACAAAAAGTCACGAGGTCGATTTGCTTCAAAAAGCAGCGTACCGAAAACCAAGTTTAAAAGATGATTCTTATGCTCTGTCAGCTTCCAAGGGCCTTTCCTTGATCCCAAAGACTCAGACCCAGAGGATCCCCTTTGTGAATTCACCTTTTGGAGCGTCTCTTTACGTCTCGGATACCAAACATCAGACCATTGAGAAACAGTCAGCACCGCAGCTCTCAAATAGCTCTCGGATCCAACACGTTGCTTTCCTTCTCAAATAGCTCTCCACCCCTTTCTTCCCTCCTCAGTGGCGGGAGCCCAACCTAGTGGGCTCAAACCCACACTCCAAAAAGGCATTATATATATATATATGTCTATATATATATATGTATCAATATATATATATATATATACATATATTACATATATATATATATATACATATCAACATGTGACCCATATAGAGAGTCAATTTTGGATAAATATTCCCTACATGGAGTGCGGTTTTTCCCGTCGCCTTTCCGCGCTGGGGCGCCCGGCTCTTCTGCCCCGGGAACAGCCCCCTCCGGCGCTTCCGCGGCCTTGCGCTCGGCTCGGTCCTCGCGGCCGAGCAAAAGGCCCGTCGACCCTCAGGCGTTTTTCTTGCGAGAAAACAAGTCAATTGCTCGCTTTGTGTGTCTTTGCTTGTGTTTCAACAAACACCTGGTGTTGCCTCTTGTCCTACCTCAATCACATGCGGCCCCACATGGCCATGGTTCAAAATCCGGATACCAGTGAACATCCGATTCAATCCAACCACTAAATAGACTAAAATGGGTGGTGCACCTATCCCAGAATGGTACCATTGGTTTGGCAGCCCATGCTTCCAATTGCAAGGCTTCCATTTTGGAATTCCGGTTTTTTGAGCCACAGCCAAATGGAGCAAAAAGCGAATGAGAAATACAGGAACCGAAATGCTGTATGCTATAATACAATTTTCTTGTCATGAGAAATCGCTCATGACCCCAAGAGAAACAATCCCTTGCTGGTGGTTTCCCTTTTGCGGCAATCCGATTCAGTCCCTCATTCCCTACTGAGCACCAGCAAGTTGTTCTGGAAAGCCAAACAGGTTCTGAAAGTCCAGTGCGGTGGGTTTCTTTCGAGGATACCCCTTTTTGTTGGTCGTTTCCAAGGGAAGCCAAAAGGAAAAAACATCATCTTGTGGATTTTTGGGGAAAGGCCCCCCCCCAAAAAAAATAATAGACACCCCCCAAACCAAAGGACCCCCCACGGCCTCCGGTAGCGCCGGGGGTTCGTGCGTCACCGGAACCTCCTTGGCCTCCAAGCTCGCGAGACATGAAGCCAGTGGCTGGCGGGGCTTCAGACGTTTGGTGGCCTTTTGGAAAAAAATCGATGGGTATCCCCATCTAAACCAGGGCCCTCCACCTTTTTTAAGCAAAAAAAACACCAAGAAGGACACCTATGGTTTCAGACGTTCGGTGCAGTTGCCCATCGCCAATTCGGCTTCTTCTGAAACGTCGGTGTGCTTTTCTTTTTTTTCTCTCGGGAAACCCGGCAGGCCGGAAATCCATGTCGGGAATCCAAGGATTTCGACACCCCATGTGAGTCACTTGCTCAAAACCCGGTATTACAATGGCCTACCCAGAACCGTGTAAAGAATTAGGAAGGCGGAATTCCCAAGCTATTTATGGTTGGGACTGTCCCTTGCTAACCTTTATCTACCCGGGTTTTGAGCACGTGGCTCATGTTGGTTTCCAGGTTGGTCTGAACAGCAAAAGCGCCGGGGCTCCGGGCCGCGCGGTCTTCGCTCTTAGCCTGAGAACTTGGGCCGAAGGCCACTCTCTGAGCGATCGACACCTTCACAACCCCTGGTATACAAAGCAAAAAACGCCGCTGGTTGCGGCCCTCTGCTAAAATAAACAGAACCAAAACAAAAAGGCCAAGAACAGTGAAGACAAGGCTCTGCGCACCTTCTAGGAGACTTCCAAAGAGACATGTCTTACGAGAAGCTCGGAGTTGTCTATGAAGGTCTCAGTCATTGTCCTTTCTGATTTCTTCTCTGTAGAGTTTTGAAAAACTCCAAGTGGGGGTTGATCTATATGTTGGTGCCGCTGCAAGGACAAACACGGACAAACAGAGTCCCTTTCGCTCGCCCTTACGCCGGCTTTCGCGGCTCGGGGAGTGGAGCTTTCTCTATGTGAGCAACTATAAAAGAAGTACACTTTGGTAGCTCCGGCTCGAAAGTCGCAACTGCTCAGTACAAGTGTAGTAAAGGAAGTGCACTTCGGCAGCTCCGGCTCGAAAGTCGCAACTTTTCAATACAATTGTAGTAAAGGAAGTGCACTTTGGCAGCTCCGGCTCGGAAGTCGCAACTTTCCATTACAAGTGTAGTAAAGGAAGTATAGGAGCTTTAAAAGGAGCCTTTCTAAGGGGCTTTAAAAGGAGCTTGATACGGAGCTTTATAAGGAGCTTTGCAAAGAGTTTTTTAAGGAGGATGTTTATAAAGAGTTTCATAAGGAGCTTTATAAGGAGCTTTATAAGGAGCTTTATAAGGGGCGGCTGAATAAAAACTTCTGTGGATTCTGTCCCGGAACTCGTTTTCCAGCTGATGAAAACAACTTCTAGGGATTCTTTCCCCGAACTCGTTTTCCAGCCGGTGAAAATAACTTTGGGGATTCTGCCGGCCAATGTTATAAAAAGCTTTGTAAGGAGCCTTATAAAGATCTCAATGAAGAGCTTTTTGTTAGGAGCTTTGCAAGGAGGAGCTTTGTAAGGGGCTTCATAAGGGGCTGTGTAAGGAGCTTAAAAAGGAGCTTCACGACAAGCTTTATAAAGTGCAGGAGCTTTTAAGGAGCTTTTGATGGGTGCCCCCGAAGTCGTTTTCCAGCCGGTGAAAATAACTTCTGGGGATTCTGTCCCGGAACTCGTTTTCCCAGCCGGTGAAAATAACTTCTGGGGCTTCTGTCCCGGAACTCGTTTTTCCAGCTAATGAAATAACTTCTAGGGATTCTGTCCCCGAACTCGTTTTCCAGCCAATGAAAATAGCTTCTGGGGATTCTGTCCCGGAACTCGTTTTCCAGCTGATGAAAATAACTTCTAGGGATTCTTTCCCCGATCCCGTTTTCCAGCCGGTGAAAATATCTTCTGGGGATTCTGTCCCGGAACTCGTTGTCCAGCTGATGAAAATAACTTCTAGGGATTCTTTCCCCGAACTCGTTTTCCAGCCGGTGAAAATAACTTTGCGGATTCTGCGGGCCAATGTTAAAGAAAAACTTTATGAGGAGCGCTATGTAAGGAGCTTTGTAAGGAGGTTTTTAAGGACATTTGTAAGGAGCTTTATACGCAGCCTTGTAAGAGCTTTATAAGGAGTTTCATAAGGACCTTTGCAAGGAGCTTCGTAAGGAGCTTTATAAGGAGTTTCATAAGGAGCTTTATAAGGAGCTTTATAAGGAGCTTTTGATGGGTGCCCCCGAAGTCGTTTTCCGGCTGATGAAAATAACTTCTGTGGATTCTGTCCCGGAACTCGCTTTTCCAGCTGATGAAAATAACTTCTGGGCATTCTGTCCCCGAACTCGTTTTCCACCGAAGAAAATAACTTCTGTGGATTCTGTCCCGGAACTCGCTTTTCCAGCTGATGAAAATAACTTCTGGGCATTCTGTCCCCGAACTCGTTTTCCACCGATGAAAATAACTTCTGGGGATTCTGTCCCGGAACTCGTTTTTCCAGCTGATGAAAATAACTTCTAGGGATTCTGCCCAGCTGATGAAAATAACGTCTAAGGATTCTGTCCCCGAACTTTTTCCAGCCAATGAAAATAGCTTCTGGGGATTCTGTCCCCGAACTCGTTTTCCAGCTGATGAAAATAACTTCTAGGGATTCTTTCCCCGAACTCGTTTTCCAGCCGGTGAAAATAACTTCTGGGGATTCTGTCCCGGAACTCGTTTTCCAGCTGATGAAAATAACTTCCAGGGATTCTTTCCCCGAACTCGTTTTGCAGCCGGTGAAAATAGCTTTGAGGATTCTGCGGGCCAATGTTATAAAAAGCTTTATAAGGAGCGCTTTATAAGGAGCGGATGTTTATAAGGAGCTTTACAAGCAGCCTTGTAAGAGGTTTTCAAGGAGTTTCATGAGGAGCTTTGTAAGGAGCTTCGCAAGGAGATTTATGAGGAGTTTCATAACGAGTTTCATACGGAGTTTTATAAGGAGTCTTATAAGGACCTTTCTAAGGAGCTTTACAAGGAGTTTTATAAGGAGCTTTAGAAGGAGCTTTGCAAGAAGCTTTGTAAGGGGCTTTATAAAGCTTGTCATTAAGCTACTTATAAAGCTCCTTATAAACCTCCTTACAAAGCTCCTTATAAACCTCTTTATTACAATCTTCATAAGGCTCCTTAGAAAGCTTTGTAGAACAAGGGCACGCAGAAGTTATTTTCACCACCACAGAACAGCTGGAAAACGAGTTCCGTGAGAAAACGACTTCACCCATCAAAAGCTCCTTCTAAAGCTCCTTGTAAAGCTGTTCATTAAGCTCCTTATAAAGCTCCTTACGCAGACCCTTTATAAAGTGCTTTATAAGGAGCTCTATAAGCAGCTTTTGATGGGTGGCCTCAAAGTAGTTTTCCAGCCGGTGAAAATAACTTCTGGGGATTCTATCCCGGAACTCGTTTTGCAGCCGGTGAAAATAACTTCTGGGGATTCTGTCCCGGAACTCGTTTTTCCAGCTGATGAAAATAGCTTCTATTGATTCTGTCCCCGAACTCGTTTTCCAGCTGATGAAAATAACTTCTGGGGATTCTGTCCCGAACTCGTTTTCCAGCTGATGAAAATAACTTCTAGGGGTTCTGTGCCCGAACTCGTTTTCCAGCCGGTAAATATAACTTCTGGGGATTCTTTCCCGGAACTCGTTTTCCAGCCGGTGAAAATTTGGGGATTCTGCGCAATGTTATAAAAACCTTTATAAGGAGCCTTATAAAGATCTCAATGAAGAGCTTTATAAGCTGCTTTGTAAGGAGGAGCTTTGTAAGGGGCTTCATAAGGGGCTGTGTTAGGAGCTTTATAAGGAGCTTCATGACAAGCTTTATAAAGTGCTTTATAAGGAGCTTTATAAGGAGCTTTTGATGGGTGCCCCCGAAGTCGTTCTCCAGCCGGTGAAAATAACTTGGGGGGATTCTCGTTTTCCAGCCGGTGAAAATAACTTCTGGGGATTCTGTCCCGGAACTCGTTTTTCCAGCTGATGAAAATAACTTCTAGAGATTGTGTCCCCGAAGTCGTTTTCCAGCCGGTGAAAATAACTTGTGGGGGGTCTGTCCCGGAACTCGTTTTCCAGCTGATGAAAATATCTTCCAGGGATTCTTTCCCCGAACTCGTTTTCCAGCCGGTGAAAATAACTTCTGTCCCGGAACTCGTTTTCCAGCCGGTGAAAATAACTTCTGGGGATTCTGCGTGCTAATGTTTTAAAAAGCGTTCTTCGGAGCCTTATAAAGATTTTAATGAAGCTTTGTAAGGAGGTTTGTAAGGAGCTTTGCTTAATGACAAGCTTTATAAAGTGCTTTGTGTGTCGTTCGCTTTGTGTGTCTTTGCTTGTGTTTCAACAAACACCTGGTGTTGCCTCTTGTCCTACCTCGATCACATGCGCCCCCACATGGCCATGGGTCAAAATCCGGATACCCCCCAGTGAACATCCGATTCAATCCAACCACTAAATAGACTAAAATAGGTGGTGCACCTATCCCAGAATGGTACCATTAGTTTTGAACCATGGCCATTTGGGTGTGGCTCAAGATTCAACAGGAGGTGAATTACGCAGGTTCTGGCAGCCCATGTTTCCAATTGCAAGGGTTCCATTTTGGAATTCCGGTTTTTTGAGCCACAGCCAAATGGAGCAACAAGCGAATGAGAAATACAGGAACCGAAATGCTGTATGCTATAATACAATTTGCTTGTCATGAGAAATCGATCATGACCCCAAGAAAAACAATCCCTTGCTTCGGCAATCCGATTCATTCCCTCATTCCCTACTGAGAACCAGCAAGTTGTTCTGGAAAGCCAAACAGGTTCTGAAAGTCCAGTGCAGGTGGGTTTCTTTCGAGGATACCCCTTTTTGTTGGTCGTTTCCAAGGGAAGCCAAAAGGAAAAAGCATCATCTTGTGGATTTTTGGGGAAAGGCCCCCCCCAAAAAAATAATAGACACCCCCCAAACCAAAGGACCCCCCACGGCCTCCGGTAGCGCCGGGGGTTCGTGCGTCACCGGAACCTCCTTGGCCTCCAAGCTCGCGAGACATGAAGCCAGTGGCTGGCGGGGCTTCAGACGTTTGGTGGCCTTTTGGAAAAAAATCGATGGGTATCCCCATCTAAACCAGGGCCCTCCACCTCTTTTAAGCAAAAAAAACTAAGAAGGACACCTATGGTTTCAGACGTTCGGTGCAGTTGCCCATCGCCAATTCGGCTTCTTCTGAAACGTCGGTGTGCTTCTTGTTGATGTGCGTGGGACATTGCCCTTGGGTTTGCCTCTGTTTTTGTGCGGGGAAACCCGGCAGGCCGGAAATCCATGTCGGGAATCCAAGAATTTCGACACCCCATGTGAGTCACTTGCTCAAAACCGGGTATTACAATGGTCTACCCAGAACCGTGTAAAGAATTAGGAAGGCGGAATTCCCAAGCTATTTATGGTTGGGACTGTCCCTTGCTAACCTTTATCTACCCGGGTTTTGAGCACGTGGCTCATGTTGGTTTCCAGGTTGGTCTGAACAGCAAAAGCGCCGGGGCTCCGGGCCGCGCGGTCTTCGTTCTTGGCCTGAGATCTTGGGCCGAAGGCCACTCTCTGAGCGATCGACACCTTCACAACCCCTGGTATACAAAGCAAAAAACGCCGCTGGTTGCGGCCCTCTGCTAAAATAAACAGAACCAATACAAAAAAATGCCAAGAACAGTGAAGACAAGGTGCTGCGCACCTTCTAGGGGGTCTTCCAAAGAGACATGTCTTGCGAGAAGCTCGGAGTTGTCTATGAAGGTCTCAGTCATTGTCCTTTCTGTTTTCTTCTCTGTAGAGATTTGAAAAACTCCAAGTGGCTGCCAATCAACTCCTTTGTTTTGCCCTTTTTCTTTTTCGAATCACTAGAAACAACACCCTCCTAAGCTCCTAGACATCTCTTAGGTCAAACCTCGTGCGGAATTTGGCGCGGTCACCCGTTGAGAGCTTCGTGGCCTTTGGGACTTCACGGCGAAGCCGCGAACGCGGAAAACTGCGAAGCGAGGAACGTGAGCCATGGGGAACCAGCGCGGATACATTGGAGCCCTTGTAACTCCATGGGAAAACATTGGAGAAAAAAGAAGAAAAAGAGAAACAAACAGAACACGCTTGGTGTTTCTTTTGCACATGTTTGAAGACAAGGGCAAAGTGCGGAATCAAGCAAACACTGTTTGGTGCGTTCGGCGTAGGATAAGGCATGTATTTTTTGGCCTGCTTTCACATTAGTTCTTGTTCTGGTTGTTCGACCCATTCCCCAAAGACATCTTCCGATCTGCGCCAATTCTGGCCCTTTCAAACGCATAGGAACCCATCCGGACCCGTCAGAGCCCGTCAGAAAACATCAAAACGGAAAATGCACTCCCAAAACAAGGCGCAAAACTCCGGCAATGGTCGAATCAAGAAAACACGGAGTGCCGACTCTGTCGGATACGAGTCGGACAAATGGAAAATGCGAGCAAGGCGATGCTGGTTCTCCAACAAAAGCTCGCGCCACGAAGCCGCTTAAGTCTGATTTCAAGCATACCTTGCTCCTAAGCCTACAGTCTGTCGAGTCGAGACGAACTTGTGAACACGCGTGCCATATCATCACGCCCAGGTGTTTCTTGTGCACTCCTAGCTTTCATGTGTCACTCCCGCTGTTTGGAATTGTGCTGTGGCACTCCTGACACCCAGTCTTTTTGTGAGGGTGCAAAACAGAACGCAAACCAGTGAACCAAGATGACGAAAGATTCGGGTGGGGAAATTGAACATGTTCATAGCAAGACAAATTGGATCGCCATTCAATGAAAGCAAATGCAACCTTGGCGCCTCTTCAACAACCATCTCCTCCGCCCTCTCCTTTCGCGCGAGTCGCTTTGCTTGCAATAAACTAGAGGTCTTGCGTACAAGCCTGAAGGCAAGTTCCACGTCAATTGGCAGAAGCATGGCTGCCAACCAGCATGGCACCAACTCCCTCATGGCTTCTCATCTCAAGCTCCACGAAAAGAAGATCACAACAGGACTTTGGCTTAGGTCAACTTCGGGAGTTAGATTAGTTTGATGATTTAGTCTGCTTGCTTCTTCCGCCAGGCGAGTTCATGCTAGACAAATGCAGCACTAGTGGTTGGGCGGTCGAAATTCGACCGAAACACCCGCAGTGTCCTTGGGCAAAACAATGAAATCAATTCTGCCTCAGGGGGATGTTCAGTGGGGTAAATTCTGATTTGGGTTGGCAAAGGCTTAGGGTCAGGCTGGTTGAGCGGTGGGTTAGAGTGCAGCCACTCTAAGCAGATTCGAATTCGGCGCCTCAGCTATCATCTCCTCCCTCTCGTCCCCTTTGGCCTGAGATTGGCCAGTGAACCCAGTGGGGTAACTTTTGCAGCTCGCAGGCCAGGCTTCCAACGAACAAATCTTCCCCCCATCTTCCCCCCCGCCAAAACCCAAAACCCGCTCTTCCCCCCCCCCCCCCAAAACCCCCAAAACCCAACCCGCCAAGACCCAAACCCCGCCTCCGCCTCGGACCTGATCCTCACCTGCTTCGGCGTTTTGGCGCCCAAAAGTCCAGCTCTCGCAGATCGCTCGCTGGTCAGAATTTCTCTCCACGGGGAATCGTCCGACCCAAACCAGGGGGCTGTCCATCCTGTCGGTCTCTCTTTGCAAGCACAAACATGGCACAAACAAAACAGACACACCCAAATCAACAGTGAACATTCAGCATTAAAATCCATGTTTGCTCCTAACGCTATAAGAACGGGAGCGTATTCACTCCTGGTACTCCCCGGACCCGATCATGTTTCCCAAGCAAAGCTTTCAGCACGAGCGAACTCCGATCGTATCTTGCGCCAAGCGTTCACGCTCTATGTTTCAGGCAATCTAAAAGTCCCCAAGTTGCATCTGAGCCATCATCAAAACCCGGCACAATAATGGTCGACCCGGAACCATGTAAAGAAATAAGAAGGCGGCCGCAGCCATTTCTGGTTGGGATCGTCCCTTACTAACCTTCACTTACCCGGATTTTGATTGTGACTCATCTGAGGAGCTAAACCGTGTGCGCTTGCCGGCGAGCGGCTGCAGATTCCTCCTTCCTCTCCTGACACATCGCGGTTCGCTGCTTCGCACGTGACTCACGTGAGGCAAAGCGCCCTTTGGCAGGCCAACAGCGCCCGGGGCATGGGTGCGAAAGAATTTTGCTCGCAGGTGTATTTGGGATCTGGCTCAGGCCTTCAGCCCAAGACGGGTGTTTTGGAAACCCGCGAGAGGGTCCGCCAAAACATTCACAAGCACCAGAGGCTTCTTTGAATACCAAGAAGGGGATAACGGATGTCTTCAGCCACGCTGATGGGACCATTCAGGCCTCTCACGGAGTCCAGCTATGTGCAAAGTGCTTCTTGGCCGGCCATTTTCAGCTCGCCATCCGCACAAACTACGTGCTCGCCTTTTTCCAATTTAACACGGAACCCTTGAACCACTCCCTCCTTTCTGCTTCGGCAGAAAAAGGGCCTCGAATCACAAAACGATGGCGCTGGGAGAACGTTGCCAGTTCCTGAAGCCCAGCTTCTCGTAGATTTCCTCGCGGAGGCATTCGAGTGTGTCTTTTCTTGGAGGGACCCCCCAAAGGGCTGTCATCCCTTGGTTTCCCTTTAAAGCCACCAGAAAGGGGTACTCTCAAAACCAGACGCCCATTTGAGTCAAGCCATTCGCCCCACGACCAGAAGACTTCTTTGCCTGTCGCCATGGAAGTGCATCTCAAACTCCCACCCTCCCCATGTCCTGAGTCAAAGCCAACTCGCCCTCCCACCCACCCACCCCACCAGGCGTGTCACAAGCATGACAGGTGCTGGTTCCTTTCGCCGGGAAAGCTGACGACCGTCCGACCGAGTCGCTCCAAAGGTTTGATGCACACATTTGTGGCACACCGTGAGCGCCGCCCCGATGTGGTGCTTCAGCACTTGGTCGATGCGGTCAAAGCTCTCCATTTCTTTGAGGACAAGTGAGCGAATCATGTTCTTGTCCTGCGGACAAAGGCCGGCCAGAAGCAAATGCAACATGAAAAGCTCGTCTTGCGAGACGTTCCAATTCTCAACAAACTTGCAAAAACACGCAGGGCGCAACATCTACCTTCGATGTCTGATTCATCTTGTTTTGGGGTTTGTTGCTGTTTTGTTTTTGTTGCGAGACGTGGATGTTTGCTTCCGGCTTTCTTCACAGGGTGGGGAAGGCTGATCAGAGCTTCTGACGAGGAACAAAAAAACAATAGGTTGGCCGGACAATAATTACGGGGCATGCAACTCCAAACGCCTTCACTACGCTTGCGTCAACATGAAGATTTGTGTGAGGACCAAAGCAGCTGTAGCTTCCCTGCAATTTCCCGCCCAGCGCGTACCCGACCGCGGCCTGCACATCCATGGTTCCACCGCTTCTGTGGAAACGAAACACAAACCCAATGAAACATGTGCAGCCCCCCCAACAAACACAACAAAAGAAGAACAAACACTTCGAGTGGCCCATTTTTCCGGATCACTTCCCTTAACCCGCCCAAAAAACAGTCCTCCTCCCTCTCCCCCTCCCCCCCTCTCCCCCTCCCCCCCTCTCCCTCTCCCCCACCCCCGCCACAGAGCCCGCCGCCAGCCGCCTCCTCGGTGGTGGCCTCCGCGTCCTGGAGGCTCAGAGACGCCAGGCGCGCGCCCAGGCGCCACGACATCTCCACCGTGGCCGCCCCGAAGTTCAGCACGCCTCGCGATCTCGCGACGAAGACGCCTTTGGAGCCCTTGGAGGAGGTCTGGAGGGTCGGCTTGCCGACCCGTTTGGATTGGCCAGGTGAGCCTTCGGAGGTCTGGTGCTTGGGGTTGTTTGGGTTGAGGCTTGACAAAGGTGAGCCTTTGCTGGGTGTGGTTGGCAAGACCAGGGGTTGGGTTGACAAAGTTCGTGAGGTTGGCCAGCCGTTTGGATCGGTGAGGCTTGAGAAAGGTGAGTTGAGGTGTGTGGCCAGAGATCAGGTTGAAACAGACCCTTTGGCCAATGATTCGGCCAGAGATGACTCTCTTGGAACAAGAGTTTTTGGGAGCTCCGCCATTTACTGAACGGTCCCAGGCTTGGGACACCGGTAGACGACAGAAGGCTAAAGCTTAGGACCTGAATACATCCCCTGAAAACTCAACCTTCTCCCCCCCCGCCCCGTCGCAAAATCGAAGACTTGTAAGGGGCAAACACCGAAAGCATGTCAAGAAGACAATCCGACGCTTAGCTAAAATTTTGCCGTTGGCCCAGAACAAACAACCGTGCAAAGCTGTGCATGCAAGTTCGTGTGGGCAAGATTGCTGCCGAAGTGTGCTTTGCGTACTATTCAGTCTTCTGCTGGAGCTGCGGAAGCATAATTCGCATACTACGTGTCTACTTAAAGTTATGGTCTACGAGATAGAACTGCGGGATGCTTCGCATCATTTCCTGACTGGAGCTGCTGCAGCGTACTCTGCCCACGAGTTTCGCACCAAGTCGGGAAAGTTGCCTGGAAACCCTGGCTACAGACAAGGTGTCCCGGACCGGCGAGAGTCGTGACTCACTGCACGGAGTTTGGCAAACTTCCCCCGGGTCGCTGTTCGATAGCTCTCGCCGCTCACTGCCGGAAGAGGAAGCTTGCAGGTGTGCTTGACATACCGAAGTTACAACGGGATAGCTTGCAGGTGTGCTTGACATGTCGTGTGTTGGACAGGTGTTTGTGTGTGCGCATGTGTTGAGCTGATGTTGTGTGAAGACCATTAAAAGCAAAACCCTTCGCATGATTCTAAAAACAGAAGCTCGCTTTGCCATTCGATGGCTTGATGAACATTTTGCTATCGCCGCATGTGTCATCCGCTTTGAAGGTGAAGCAAAAAGTCGGGGCCAACCACGGTAGCTGCTTGCTATAAGGTCACCATGCCAAAACCGCCCGCTCGATCCACAAAACCACGCAAGTTGAGAAGGCGGAGGTCGATCAATCCCACAACCTTCATCTAGGTCCTGAGGCCTGGCTCAAAGGGTTGACCTCGGCCAACTCCATGGCTCTCACTTCAAGTCACTCTGGACACGCAGATGCTTTGAGCGCTGCAACAAGCAGGAAGCGTCTAAAGTTAAGCCCTGACACAAAGAGGTTGGGAATCTGTATGCTCCAGGCATGATACCCGTCCAAAAAGAGCTGGATAAAAGGCTACTAGTAGGTTTGCTGAAAGAGCACCGGAAAAAGAACTTTGCAGGTTGTTGCTGGTTGATGACTTGGCAGAACTTGTGCCTCTCTATGCCTCTGTGCTTGCCGGTCATCGTTTACATGGGGGATGTCCGTCCTCCAACCATTTCTGAGCCTATGAAAACTTCCAACCATGCCCCATTTGGAGGGCGCAGTCACGCAGTCACTACCTCTGACACATCGCCTGAGTTTCAGTCAATACCAGCGCCGGACGACGGGGATCGACACGTTGTTGGTGCTGCTTTTGCTTTCGTTCCGGATGGCCTGTCTCGGTGCAGAAGAGCAAGCCTTTGAAGCCAAGCTGAGACTTCTCCAGATTGATGGTCTGCAGCAACTCGAACAAGCACCAGGAGCGCTTCAGAGGCATCGCCTGCTCATCCAAGACCATGCAGGTGCCTGGCATGGGAGTCGGAGTCTTCAGGTCACCAACCCAGGAAACGGAGTAAGAGAACACGATGGCCAGGTTCTTTGGACTCGAGAATCGAAGTCTGAAGTTGGTTGGTTGCTTCCCTTTAACCTAGGTGACTTTGAGCCAAGAGAAAGAGGGAAGCAACGAAGCCCAATCCGGGTCCCCAGATTCTTCCGCCGCGCCCCTGCAGATGCCGCTGTGCAGAGCGAGGTAGAAGGATGACTCCTCGTGAGAGCTCCCAAGCTCGTCGTGAAGCTGGTACTGGTTGTTGGAAAAGGTGCAAATCCAGTAGGTGGTCGCCTTCCTGAGCTGCCCCGTCTGAGCCAGAAATAAAAGGTGAGCATCTTTTGGGGCCAACCAAAGTGGACCAAATCAGGTCAGGTCCGCTCCATTTGCCAAAGCAAGCTTCCACTCGGCATCGCTTGCAACTGACACCGCCTTGGCGTGGCGCTGCAAAGCCTCGCAGTAGACTCGCATCTTGGTGCCCCACCAGTGGCTGACGAACCACTGCACCGGCCGTGGCCCCACCAGCTCCGCATAGGACAGGCGAGATGGGGCGCAAAGCTGGCGCGTGACGTTGGCATCCACGTAGTACATGTCTCCTGACTCGTGACTTGTGGTGATTCGGTGTGTCAAATGAGCAACACCTCGAACCTCCATCTTGAAAGGGAGCCAACACCAGGGACCTTACTGAAAGTCTAAGTGTTGATCCCCAATTCTTTCCACTCATTCTTTTCAAACATCCCTTCGGGGCTGTGGAATGAATTTGGTACCCCTTGCTTTGTGGTATCAACAGGAAACCAAAGACACCCCCCACGTGTGCTTGGCAGCAAATCCAACAACAAAAACATTCCTGAGTTCACAATGGGTTAAGTTCCTCTAGAAACATGCCCAAGACACTGGTTCGACCGCACTGCTCAGACCTATGGATCTCAAGATCCGTTTCTCAGGAGGCCGCTAGGGTGTTTAGAAGCCGTGCCACTCCCCCAGCATGTCCACTTTTTCCCAAACCCAAAAAAGGAGGGAGAACTGACAATCAGACCTTACCCCCGCCCAAAAAAAGGGAAAACCGAAAAACCGAAAAGACCCGCCTTCCATGGTTTGGAAAACCCCCCAAAAGAAGAACTCCTCACTGTCCAAGGCGCGATCCCGGATGAAGGAGCTGAAGTGATCCCAGAGGCTCAGCAGCTCCTCCACCGTCACGGCCCTGGATGGCCCTCGCTCGCAGGGCCAAGGCTTCGGATTCTTCTCCTCGCTCCCATCGGCTCGGGAGCGGCTACTCGAGCGGCCGAAAAACGAGAAGCTGGGCGCTCTCAACTTGTTGGCGGTCTTCGGCTTTTGCTGTTTAACTTGTTTGTTGCTCTTGGTTGGTTTGTGTGTTCTTTGCCGGTGTCCTTTTGCTTTGTTGGTGCGTCTGTGTGTTCTTGGCTGCTTTGCTTTTTGTTGTTTTTATTGCTGTTGT